CAGACAGTTTTCATGCACAACGTGTAATAAAACGGGTTGAAATTTTGAGTATGGTGTCCATTGGTCTCTGTGGTCATCTAGTTCTAAATCAGTCATTTCACATTGCTCACGGTATTCTAAGCACTCAAAAGAAACAAATTCATCATCATTACGCAGGGCTTCCGCTGTTAAAGCAGCTGCCCTTCAAACTGAGTTGGAAGCCAGAGAAGAAGAGGCTATTCAAGAGGAGGAGTTAAAGGTACTAGAGCTTGAGGAGAGTAAGCGAAGGGTAGCAGCTGAAGCAGAAATGCAGCGCAGGTTAAGAGAGCTCGATAGACAAAAAGTAGTAAGAAAGCTTCGTATTGAAAAGGCTAAGTTAGCTGTATATGAAAGGGAAGATTTATTTGAAAATTTTCCAGTTAAAAGAGTACCCAAGTTAGTGCCACCTGCAATGGTAGATACAAATAGTACAGGAAAACCAATGGTGATAATGGAGCCACATAGCCCTCCTGTAGTTGAACAATCAAATAATGATAGACACAAATGCCAACCAGTATTATCTCAGGAGTAATGCCCAACTACAGCGCAGAATGACCTTAGAGCACTGACTGAGAGCTTGAAAGCGTCAGTGTCACTGAGTCGACTACCAGCACCAGAACCATTGGTATTCACAGGAGACCCATTGGCATATCCAGATTGGATTACTTCATTTTCTACTCTAATCGAATCACGTGGTGTCCCGCCGGTTGAGAGGATTCATTACCTGAAAAGGTACTTAGGTGGCTCTGCCAGAGAAGCGGTAGAGGGATGCTTTCTACTCAGAAGTGAAAGTGCATATGATGAAGCCAAAGCCACTCTGAAGAAAGATATGGAAATTCTTCACATTGACCGAGGCGTCAGAGATAAGATTGACTCATGGCCAAAGATTTCTGGCAAAGATTCCAAAGCCTTGCGACGGTTTGCTGACTTTCTAAAGCAGTGTCTCATAGCCATGAGAGTCACAACAGGTATGGAAGTGTTAAATGATGTTCGAGAAAATAGAAAAATGCTTCAGAAACTACCAGATTGGCTTATAAATAGATAGAGTCGTATTGTTGCAAAGATAAAGAAATGCACAGGTATATACCCCTCATTTAAATCATTTGTTTCTTTCCTGCAGGAGGAAGCAGAAATTGCATGTGACCCGTGCACTTCTGTGGAATCTCTGAAATCTACCCTGCAGAAAGACAGAGATACATCTCAACACTACACACCCAGAAACGGCAGGCCTGGATGTCGCACTCTATCAACCATAGCAAAGCCAGAAAAAGATGACCAGTCCTGTATTTTCTGTAAGAAGGGTGGACATAGTATTCAAGAATGCTATACTTTTACAGCTAAGACCATGTCAGAGAAACAAGATTTCATCAAAAAGGGTGGTTATTGTTTTGGTTGTCTGCATTCTGGTCATGTGTCTAGGAAATGTCCAAATCGAAGTATATGCAAGAAGTGCAGTAAGAGACATCCCACTAGCTTGCATAGTGAAGAAAGAATAAACATAACCAAAGTACCAAGATCATCTCATAGTGAAACTACGGAACCCAACAGAACAATAGATCAAGATCTCAAAGAAAGGACCAATATACATGTGAAAGATGCTGGTTGTCATGGCATAGTTCGCAAGCGTGACAAATCACTTTCATCTATGATTGTGCCTGTATGGATCTCCAGCAAAGAAGATCCTAGTGAAGAGATGTTAGTATATGCACTACTTGATACACAGTCTGATACCACATTTGTATTGAATCATGCTGCAGAGCAGCTCAAAACAAAGTCAGATCCAGTTAGTCTTCGTTTAACAACCATGACTTCAAGTGATCGTGTTATTCCCTGCAGAAAGTATCCCAATCTCAGTGTTCGTGGATTTGATTCTGATGTAATGGTTACACTACCAACTGCATACTCGTTAGAGTACATTCCAGTACCTTACATACCCTAACCCAACAGAACAATAGATCAAGATCTCAAAGAAAGGACCAATATACATGTGAAAGATGCTGGTTGTCATGGCATAGTTCGCAAGCGTGACAAATCACTTTCATCTATGATTGTGCCTGTATGGATCTCCAGCAAAGAAGATCCTAGTGAAGAGATGTTAGTATATGCACTACTTGATACACAGTCTGATACCACATTTGTATTGAATCATGCTGCAGAGCAGCTCAAAACAAAGTCAGATCCAGTTAGTCTTCGTTTAACAACCATGACTTCAAGTGATCGTGTTATTCCCTGCAGAAAGTATCCCAATCTCAGTGTTCGTGGATTTGATTCTGATGTAATGGTTACACTACCAACTGCATACTCGTTAGAGTACATTCCAGTCAACAAATCGCATATACCAACTCCTGAGATTACAGAAAAATGGCCTCATCTCCACCAAATCGCTCATAGGATACATCCCATACAGAAGTGTGAAGTAGGTCTATTAATCGGTTATGATTGTCCCCAAGCCATTGCACCTCGTAACTGCATCACAGGAGTGGGAAATCAACCATTCGCCATAGAAACAGACCTGGGATGGAGCATAGTTGGGCAGATGACACAGGCAGAAGAGAGTGAAAATATTTTCGGTGTTTCCCATAGAATACTTACCAAGGTAATACCAGACAACTTGGTACTCAGCATTAATGGTACTGGGGATGTACATAACTCTTATGAAAAGCAGTATACACCATCAGAGATTTGCTATGCTTTCAAGACTTCAACAAAAGAACAGATTGTCAGTCCTTTGGATGTAGTGAAGTTACTTGAATCTGACTTTAATGAAACCAGAACTGATGAAGTGTTTATGTCTCAGGAAGATTTCCGGTTCATGAAGATTATTGAGAATGGTATTCACAAGGGAGATGATGGGCTTTATACAATGCCACTCCCGTTTAAACATGATAAACCTAAATTGCCAGACAACAAGATTATGGCAGAGAATCGCTTGCAGTACCTTCGGCGTCGATTTAAGAGTGATCCTAAGTACTTAAATGACTATAAAGTGTTCATGCAGAGCATCATTTCAGCGGGCGATGCAGAATTAGTTGAGAAACAAGAAGAAGAAGTTGGACATGTCTGGTACATACCTCACCATGGAGTCTACCACCCCAAAAAACCTGGTAAAATACGTGTTGTATTTGACTGTAGTGCCAGATACAAAGGAACAAGCCTAAATGACCATTTATTGCAAGGTCCAGACCAAATAAATTCTCTTGTTGGTGTTCTTTGTCGCTTCCGGAAAGAGAAGATTGCTATCATGTGTGATATCGAGAGAATGTTCCATAGATTCAGAGTAGCAGAGCAGGATAGAGATTTTCTTCGATTTCTTTGGTGGAAGAATGACGATATAGATTCTGACCCAGTTGTATACAAGATGAGAGTACATCTCTTTGGTGCAGTGTCTTCACCGGGGTGTGCGAATTATGGTCTTAAACGTATAGCTAAAGATAATCAACAGTATGGTAGTGATGTAGTCTACTTCGTTAACAGGAATTTTTATGTAGATGATGGCCTGCAAAGTGTTGAATCAGTGTCTAAAGCTGTTAAACTCATTCAAGATGTTCGTGATCTTTGTGCAGAAGGGAATCTTCGTCTGCACAAATTTGTTTCCAATAGCAGGGATACTATGGAATCGATACCTATCTCAGAGCAAGCACAAGGCATCAAGGACTTAGATCTTTCTTCCAGTGACCTACCAGTAGAAAGAGCCCTCGGTGTTGAATGGTGTGGAGAATCAGATTCCTTTCAGTTTAGACCAGCCATTAGAAATCATTCCCCTATCCTGTCAACTGTAGCTTCGATATTTGATCCACTTGGATTTCTTGCACCACTTGTCTTGTGTGGTAAATGTATTTTACAGGAGATGTGCAAGAAGGGTATGGAATGGGATGAACCCCTACCAGATAATCTTAGTACAAAATGGGAATCATGGCTTTCTGAAATTCCTAAGTTGGCTGATCTCAAAATCAGGAGATGCTACAAACCAGAAGGTTTTGAAGACTTGAAGAAAGTTGAGCTGCACCATTTTTCAGATGCTAGTCTTACAGGATATGGACAATGTTCCTATCTGAGATTAGTTGATGTTCATAGTAACATACATTGCTCCCTTGTCTTAGGAAAAGCAAGAGTCACTCCTCTGAAACCAGTGACTGTTCCCAGGTTGGAACTTCAAGCTGCAGTTACTTCCATTAAAGTCAGCAACTTCCTAAACAAAGAATTAGACTATGAAAACATAGACAATTTCTACTGGACAGACTCAAAGGTAGTACTTGGTTATATCGGAAATGATGCACGTCGCTTCCATATATATGTGGCAAATCGCATACAGAGAATTAAAGATGCTCCTGTAGCTGAGCAGTGGCACTACATTCCCAGTGCAGAAAACCCTGCAGATCATGCATCCCGTGGCCTAGATGTGGCAGGCTTGCAGAAGTCAAACTGGGTCACCGGTCCAGCCTTTTTATGGAATGAAGAACTACCATCTTTTGGCAATATGAACATAGATCTACAAGAATATGATCCGGAACTGAAAACTGAAAAGGTGTTGGCTACTACCGTAGTTACTTCACCAATGCTGCATCATTTGGAGTGCTTCTCAGACTAGTTCAAGCTAAGGCAGTAACTGCAATTGCTGTATTACATCAATAAATTTCCAGGAAGCTTAGGCAGACTACTATTTCACCACAAAAAGCTAGACAGAAAGCAGTGATGACCATCATAAAGTGGGCACAACAAGATGCATTCGCTGAAGAAATAGAAGACCTAAATCGTCATGTCAATTCAAAGGATGTATTATCTGTGAAAAAAAACAGCTGTCTAATTTCATTAAGTCCTTATTTAGACGATCAACAAGTACTGAGAGTAGGTGGACGATTGAAGAGATCTACCATACCTCACCATGTTAAACATCCCATTATCCTTTCTAAGAAGAATCATGTGTCGTCTATGATAATTGGATGGTGTCATAGAAAGGTGGCTCACCAAGGCAGAGGAATGACCGTGAATAGTCTAAGATCAAGTGGATTTTGGATTCTGAACTGTAGTTCAGCAGTTGCATCATACATATTCAGATGTAATTTTGTGAAAGAGGATCTATATGCTCGTAAACGATGGCGCACAGTTCAGTACCTAAGCAATTTATTCTGGACAAGATGGCGAAAGGAGTATTTGATAAATCTCCAGTCCAGGCAGAAATGGAAAAAAACGAAACGAAACATACAGGTAGGTGACATTGTACTTCTTCAAGAAGAAGACACCATTAGATCTCATTGGAGATTAGCAAAGGTAATAGAAACCATTAATGACAAAGATGGACTTGTACAACGGGTCAAGATTCTTGTGGGTGACCCAAACTTAACCAAACGAGGTAAGAGAACAACTAATTGCTCTATTCTAGAGAGACATATCCATAAACTTGTTCTACTTGTAGAAAACAATTCTGAAGACCACCACCCCTGATGTAGCCCTGATGGGTGGGAGCAGTATGGAGTACACTCGTTATCGTAAGTTTTTTGGTACATGTTGTAGAAAATCATAAATGATTTTGGGTGGGAGTGTGGCTGCCGCCCTCTGGTGGCAGATTTAAATGTTCTTTCTTAGAATGTTAGAAGAGCCTCGCGAAACAAACAGACCGAATAGCTTCACCTTGGCGATGGTGTGTCATTACGCATAGAAAATAGTTTTTTTTGTTTCATGAGTTTTATGCATTTGTAGACTCCTTGTTGTGTTTGGGGTCTTTTATTGATAGTAATAATTATTTTGTGTTGTATTTTGAATACTTTTACTCATTACTTATTTGATCCTTCTTAGTGACTTGCCCTATTGTATCCATTCGCCCTTTTGCCGTTTGTTGATACATACTAGACATGAAAGCTGTTTTCTGTTATGTCACTGTGAATTTCGGATACTTTCGATTATCCCAAGGCTTTACAGGTCGCCAATGAGGTAAATATGTGCCCATAATGTATCCGTTGCATTTACACTAGTTTTGCCTTCTTTTTGTTCAAGATTTATTCTTTTATCAAGTAATTTAGATGTTTTGAGTAGATCGGAAAAATGTTCATTTGTTACTATTATTCGACATACCTAGCATATCGTTACTATAAATTTAATTGTGTTGCAACGTTATTGTTATTTGTATTTATCTGTATTTTTCATTTTTTACGGAGCTTAAGATTGTGAATACGATGTTCATGAATGTTCTTGGTTTTACACTACTGATCGTTCGCTGTATACACTATACTATAAGCAGACCTGCAATGTTGCGTGAATAAATTAAAGCTTTCTAGGTACAACATAAACAAATTTAGTAAAAATAGTACATGTGAAGAATTAGAACGAGAAACGGAGAGGCAAAAAAAACTCATCGAAAATGAACTCGTTTTCACTGTCAAAAAATATACTACATGGATATGACGGGGAGAGTTGGGACATACTGTTTTTTTTTCTTCGAAAACAAAACTGTAAGTGTGTCAGACCAAACATGCCCGGCCTCGTTTCTGGCTGTCACATGATGATATTTTTAAAATGAAAATGCAAACATTTGCACTACTGAAAAAATCACGCAGTGCTTATTGAGGAAACAATCATAATATTATTCCTTTACACTGTAATCATCAGTAGTGACTATGTCGAGTAGTCATTTTGCTTCGCTCATGTGTAATTAATTAAAAGTTTACCTCGTGCATGAGAAGTATATTTTAGCATTTTTAGTCTTATAATTTGAATGCATATTTAGTTAGTGGTGATAGTATGTGATGAAGAAAACTCCTACCTATAATTAGCCTATATGTTATGGATCACACGGATTGGGATAATAATATAATTATGAGACTGGAGACTTAATGGCCCTCTCACCACCAATGGTTGATGATCTGTCTCATTCCATGAGGATTCTTTGAGGAGAAGATATCATAAGAATAAACATTCCCCTTACTAATTTCAGATACTCCTACTTGAGTAATTTAGATCCGCTTTACACAATTTATGACTGACAATTTCAACAGGTATTGCAACCTCGTCATGATACTTGATAGAACTGTACATATGTGTGGAGGCCACTGATTGATGGATTGGGACAACACCTCGTGTGCATATCGTTGTGAAAGGGCTAGTGCTTACACAGACAGTTGAGTGTTGAATTTCCACGCGACTGTTGTGTTGAATTAAGTCCCGGAAAGGGTGTGTGTTTTGTTACTGGCCAACTATTTACGCTTGTGTGACTGCGTGCTGCTGCGGAGATATTGGGAGACTATTAAATGGCGGTGGTTGTCGTTCCAAGTCCTGTTCGATATGGGACTCATAGCGACGTATACAACGCGTGTAAAATACATTGTTTATTTACATGAAATTCGAACACGCGCTGCGCGACAACCACCGCGCTTTAATCCCCACAAGATCACGTCGAGAATCGACTATGCTAACTGCGTTGCTGTGAGTCTACGTCTACGTTGATCAAGACGGTGAATGTTGAAAAACTAAGACACTTGATTGCGTTACATCGCACACACAGAAACACGACCAGGTATCCCAGTTCGGGGCTTTGGGTTCTTTGTATTGTTGTGTGAGAATTCTTTCTAATTCTATCGTATCATTACTTTGATCTTTATTGATTACATTACCTTCTCAGCCAGCATTGTTATAAATTTGTTGGTTTGATGCAGCTCTACAAATACAGAAGAACAAAATTTGATATCACCTTTCATTTTCTATATGATCATTCTATTAGCATTGACTTCACGTAATGCTAGTGTGCCTACCAGATAGACCAGTTTTATTTGCCTAGAGACGAAATTCTAAATCTCGTTAATATGCGGTAATATCTCATTATAACGAATGAATTTTATATTTCAATATCAAATTAAAATAACGCCTACCTGTTTCTTTATTTTGACCACATTAAAAAAACACCAACGACATTAAACCTTTTTCTTATTATTGTTTCCCGTTTTCATCATCTATTTGTAAGTGTGATTATCTTGCTCAAATTACTAATAAAGTTATGTCTATTTTATACATCTATCGCTTGATATAGTGGCAGCTGGTTTAAGAGAATTGAGTACACCAGACTAGATGCAGACTTCAGACAGGGAACGCAATCACTTGTAAATTGTAAACACCGCACGAACTTATGTGCCTCTGCATTCCGAGATCAGACACCAAGCTATGAAGCCCAGGCCCAATATTGTAACCGAATGAGTTGTAACAATTAGATATTCTCACAAATTGTTCATTATTTCGTCGAATATCAAAAGAAACCCACAACATGAGTGAATTTTGTGCATATATTTTGTTGAGTAGTGAATTATAGCTTCCTATTACCACGTATGCATTTGACTACAGACAACTGCATGGTGTGAAGCATGTGGTAACGTGGTGTAAACAAACGGAATAACCAATCAACGATTAGCAAATCATGAATCACTGGTTACATCGTACAGCTGTCACGTGTTGTGCAATAACAAAGGTTTTCTACATATAAGCAGTATTACAATAATATAGCCCTGAAGTGTCATAACTCTAGGATATATTATACTGCTGTGTTACAATGAGGACATACTCTGTACGCGGCGTAATTGTATTTGTGGTGTGTTGTGTTTATGTATATCAGTATCCACCAGTTTTCAAAAAGCTGAACATTTCGAAACATATTCATCAAGTTGTGGAGTCACATAAGCAGGAATTATTTACTACTGTATCGAACAATGTAAGTACCCATTATTTTCCTATCTTGTGAAAAAAAAACAGCTTACAGTCGGCTGATGTAATCAGAACCGTTCCTACACATTTTCCCTCGCACAGAAGAGCTTATTGCTCAACAAGCTAAACATACAATACATTAATACTACTCCTATTACTACACTGGTAGATTTGATATATTTTAGTTGTGTTTAACCAGTTCGTTTCAGGGTTTAGGAGGTTGAAATTGGTTACCAGTTCGTTAAGTTTAAACCCCCTTGAGCGCCGTTCGACAAGGTGTTTTATCGGAATGCGCCGCCACCATTTTTTACTATTGATTTAACTACTCGTGCCTTTTCTCCCGAGTAATGAGTAGTAGTACAAACGTTACGCACCCTGTCACTCCGAAGGCAGGGTCACATCATCGATGATTTAGTACCATCGCTATAAGCTGACACATATTTACATGTCTACTGTCAGTTAACATAACATGTTTTAAGTGTAATTAGAAAAAACACCTGTAAAAACTGCTTTGTCAATGAACAGCGTAATGCAGCAATCAATGTGTAACATGCACTGATAGGGCTGATTTCAATGTAATACAGTGATATAACAAATGAACTCGAAAGAAACAGCATTGTAATCGACCGATCGTCAAAAATAATAAAAAGTCAATCTAAATACACACACAAAAACATAACACTAATGACAACGCAAACGTCTTCTAACATAGTATTGCAAACATGGGCAATACTGATTCACGTAAAGTCGTAATTACAATAAACTCAATAATAGAAGCAATAATAAAATTGATAATGATAATGAGAATGATAACCTCTTCTTCACCAAAACCACTCTTACACCAACTAATTAGGTAATTGACGCTTCAATTCCACTCTCGCCAAGTCTATCGCATCTGCTTGGAAG